CCCCCTGCCATGGCAGGAAAGAGTACTGGGGTCAAACGACCCCGGCCAGATGTTCATCCAGCCTTTTTTTAAAGACCCCCAGGGTAGGAGCCAGCACCACTTCTTTTGGAAGTTGGTTCCAGGTCCTAGCCGCCCTGACAGTGAAATAGCGCCTCCTAATGTCTAGCCTGAAACTACCCTCCACTAGCTTGTGTCAATTGTTTCTTGTAACTCCCGGGAGTGCTCAGGGGAACAGGGACTCTCCCATGCCTGCTGGTCCCCCTTGACTAGTTTGTAGACTGCCACTAGATCCCCTCTCGGCCTTCTCTTTTGGAGGCTGAACAAGTTCAGGTCCCTCAGCCTATCCTCATAGGACCTGCCCTGCTGCCCCCTGATCATGAGGGTGCCCCTCCTTTGGACCCTCTCTATATTGGTCACATGCCTCCTGAAGTGTGGTGCTCAGAACTGGACGCAATACTCCAGCTGTGGCCTGACCAGTGTCGCATAGAGGGGGAGGATCACCTCCTTGGACCTGCTTGAGATGCATCTGTGGATGCACAACAAGGTATGGTTGGCCTTCCTGACTGCGTCCCCACTTTGTCGGCCCATGTTCATTGTGGCGTCAATAATGACTCCAAGATCCTTTTCTGTCTCGACACTGGGAAAAAGGGAGTTTCCCAGCCTGTAAGTGTGCTGCTGGTTCTTCCTCCCCAGGTGCATTACCCTACACTTGTCAGTGTTGAACCCCATCCTGTTCTCATCGGCCCACCCCTGTAACCTGTCTAGATCCATTTGTAGCATGTTCCTTCCTACTAGCATACCCACTTCACCCCACATCTTAGTGTCATCTGTGAATTTGAACAGAGTGCTTTCTACCCCCTCACCCAAGTCGCCGATTAAGATGTTGAATAGTGTGGGCCCGAGGACCAAGCCCTGGGGAACCCCACTGCCCACATCCCTCCAGGTCGAATAAGACCCATCCACTACCACCCTCTGGGTGTGGCCCTCCAGCCAGTTAGTGACCCATCTGACCATGTAGGCATCAACACCACTGTTTCCTAGTTTCTTACTGAGAATGGGGTGAGAGACCGTGTTGAAGGCCTTCCTGAAGTCCAGAAAGACTATATCCACTGCAACACCTGCATCCAAGGACTTGGTGACCTGGTCATAGAAGGCCACCAGGTTGGCTTGACAAGACCTGCCCCTAATGAACCCATGCTGGTTGACCCTAAGCATAACCTCCCCTGCTGGCCCTTCCTGGACATGTGCCAGAATAATTCTTTCGAAAAGCTACCCCAGGACTGAGGTAAGACTCACGGGCCTATAGTTTCCACGGGCCTATAGTTTCCATGTTTGTCAGCAAAGAGCTAGATCTCCTTGGCTTTATCTTGTGGCCACTGGTTTTTGATTTCCTGGATTGTCCTTTAAGCTTTAACTTTGAGGAGCTGATGAGTCTTCTTCTGCTGAAATGGTGTCATCTTGCCAAGCAGAATGAGCCCTTTACTCCTGGTCAAGGATCTCAGTATCATGCTCAATGCCAGTTTTGGTGTCAATGTGTGGTATAGCCAATGGATTGAGCATCAGCCATATGGATGGCAGTTTTAAACTCCTCAATGTTCCTTAGTGTTGCCTTTGTTTGGGGACAGGGAAGACAACTTTCCACAGGGACACTATTGGACATCATTACAGACCTCAAGATCTTGAAGAGATTTGGTATTGAGTGTTCTTCACATTGCTTTTAGCTTTTTTCCAGTATTTCAGAGCAATAATGCTCTGACATGAATGTTCATAATGGATCAGACAAGATTTTTATCTGTCCAGTAGTCATTGGATCCTCAAATAGGCAACTGGTATGGGGTACACGTGCCTCCCCTGATGGGGCCAGTGCCCCTCCGATGGCTGACACTGCTGTTGGTAAGGCTGGTGGCCCCCCTGACAGGGCTGCCACCATCAGCGGCTTCTGCGGGTGCCCTTTCCCCAAATTCAGGAGGCACCAGTGGTTCCTCACTCATGCTTCCTCACATGGCTCACATGATACAAACATCCATTTGATTATGGGCTTTAACAATAACATAGTCAAGGCAATGCCAGTGCTTAGAGTGAAGGTATCTCCAGATGTTTATATTTGTCTCTCTATCTGAAAATGGTGTTTGTGATGACAAGACTATACTCCACACATTTGCTCAGGGCAAGGATGCCATTGGATTTGGCTTTCCCTTCTCCTTCCTTCTCAGTGGTGCCACTCCAGAGTTCTAGGTGATGTCCAACTCTGGCAATGAAAATACCAAGGACATGATCTTGTCCTCCTTGCATTTGTTAGTCAGAACATGGTCAAGGTTGGAATAGAACTGTTCTTTGACATCAACAGCATCAAGTGTTGGGGCATACATACTGATAACAGTGACATACTGGTTGTTTCTGATCTTAAGACAGAGGATGAAAAGATGTTTGTTAATACCCACAGGGAGGTCGGTAAGTTGACTGATGAGCCAATTCATGATGGTAAAGTTGACACTGTGAACATGTCTGTCCTGGTCCAGTTTCTCCTACAAGAACAACATGTAGCCTCCACCATCTTCCCTCAGCTGACCCTCATCCCATTGCCTTGTCTCACTCAGATCTGCAGTATTGATGCTGTATCTCACTAGTTCCCTGTAGACAACGGTAGTTCTTCTTTCTGATTATTCATTTTAATTATCCATAAAGGTGCAAACATTGTGAAAATCATTGTTTTATTATGATGTTTTTGAGTACAGAGAGCATGATTCCATTTGATACAGTTATCCACCCAATAGCAGGTAAGACAGCCTAGGTTTAAGGCACCTTTTCTAGGCCCTTTCCCATGTGGGGAGAGCATAAAGGATCCTGAATAGGATAGCTAAGTCATGGTAGTATCTGCCAAATTGCACCCTTCTCAGCCCGTGTGCAAGACAACCACTGGGCTACTACCACCTGTATGCAGACTCATAGCTGGAGACTGCTGGATTTACTAATCCTATCTCCATCACCACTTGTCCATTGCCACAGGAGTTTGGTACAGGAGAGCATGTTGTTTCCTGTGATAGAAGCCTGTGTGTGACTTGGTTTAACGAGAGGAAGCTGGTGCATGGAAACAGCAACCATATGATCTTGCCATGGTGGAGATTTGAACCCAGTGCAAGGGAGAACCTTAGATGACAGGAGACCTGTATCTTGCTTTATCCTTCTTCTGCCTTATAGCTGTTGAGATCCTGACATCTGTTACTGAGTACTTGGGGTTGGACTGTGGTTTGTCTGAAATCTCCTGTTAGGTCCGACCCTGCCAGGAATGTGAGACTCAAGTGACATAGTTCTGGGGATCATTGGGACACACAAGGCTCTCCACCAATATAAGGTCTTGGTTCACAGAAAGCGGGAGAGAAGTAGCAGAGAGAAAGTAGTAGTAGAAAAATTAACTCATAAGAAGATGCATCTCATTTTCCTTAAATGCCCCAGAACAGCATAATAGGGTAGGAACCCCTTCTCCCCCTCCAAAGAAATGCAGATGGTGTTGTGCTTGTGCATGAGTGACATTCTTTCCAAAAGTATTTTTTTGCAGGGTTTTCTATATTGCCTTTATGGGTTTTTTTAAATACAAAGAAATAAGGCACAATACTATGAATATGAATGTTGAAATGACCCTGCTAATTCTCTGTCCTTTCTGTGAAATCTATTCTGTTTTACCATGTAGTTTCCAACTTGTGAAGGAGCTGTGTAGCTCAGATCCATATAGTAAGTGCTGTAGTTCAAATATAGAAAATATAAATTACTGGTAACTCCTAGAGAATGGGAATCAGGATTCCTGGTTTTTATTCTTAGCTCTGCCACTAACTCACTCTGGGTATGTACAGACATTCAGGAAGATTAGGAGGGGGTTAGATTGCATTGAAAATGGCCACCTGATCTAACTTAGTTCACTCATATGTGGACCTAACACTTAAATCCGTAGTTCAGTCAATCTGTGAATGGTATAGAAGACACAGGAAGGTTAGGTGGGTCAAAAAATGGCCAGCTTGATCTAATCTAACTGTATCTCAGAGGTACACTAAATTAGATTAAGTGCAGGCAGAGCAATCTAAAAGAATGAATGTACATGTTTGGAGTGCAGCCGTCTGGCTGGGAAAGTCCAGCTGCTGGCCCCAGCCCCGGGGATGCACTTCTGCTCCTCCCACCCTGGCACAGGGCTGCTTTTAGCCCCTTGGGCCCTTCCCTCCACCCGCAGCTGGACAACCTGCTCCTTGGGCCAACCTGTCCTCCCAAAACCGCCCAAACCCCCTGACCCCACAAGCTACTTCTGGTGCCAGTTTTACCAGCATTCACCAGTGCCATGAGCCAATGGAAGTAAGCCAGGGTGGGGAGGAGGGGCAGGCAGGATCAGGAGGTTGGTTCACTGAGGGCAGGTTTTGTCTGGGGAGGGGGCTGGTTAAAAACAGCCCATCACTAACCCTCCCCATCCTGCTGACCCCTCCCCCTCTCCCATTGTACCTCAGATCAGGTACCCGGAACCTAACTAATTACTGAGTTAGGTGTGGGTGTGTGTGTGTGTGTGTGGGGGGGGGGGGGCATTTTTAACCCAATCTAAGCCCCTGAACTTCTAGCTGTAATGTTTATATGAAGCCTACATGACTTTAAACCAAATCACTTAATCTCCGGGTGGCTGTGCTTTCTATTTGTGTAATGGAGAAACTGGTGCTAATGTCATAGGGTCAGTGAGGCTTAGATAATTAATATGCCAATAGTTTTTTCATAGTTTCATAGTTTGGTTTGTTTTGTTTTTGAAATTACACTGGCGATTTGGATGTCCAGCTGCCATTATTTTTTAAGGAAAACGAACGTCCAAGTCCCTTAATTCTTTAAAAACATCCTAGGTGTAATTTTTAAAGTATCTTGACATCTCAGCTGAGAGATGCTAAACAGACTCCAAGAATTATTAGTTTTGTTGCTTTTCAGCCAAAGTCAGTAACTAGTAGATAGCTTATCTATTGCTGTCTGTTCTGCCATAGCACCATCAATGCCTGAGTATGATACAGACTCGCCCTTGAATGAAACTGACACTACCATCACGGTCATGCTGAAGCCTGCTCATTCCCGTGGAGCACCTGTCAGGTAAGTTGTTTCCTCTCTTATTTTCTTTGTTTTTCTTACCCTCCCCCAAGCCCACACAAATATCTCTTTCACAACCAATAACGTGGCTGATTAATAGGTATTCCTACTAGAAGGCCACCTATAACACAGCATGTTACAAATGCCTTCTCTTACTTCCATCCTACAATTAAGCTTGGGGAGAGATTACTGATACTACAGCCCTGTTTATTTTCTTTGCAGCAACCCGTTCATATGCACTTGCAATATTTGAGCTGAAATATGTGGGATTAAATGCTGGGATTTTAGCATCTCTCTGCTACTTAATAGGACTTCAGGCCTCCAACTACTGACTTCTCTTCAGTTGCCAAAAAGGTCTTACTGTACATCACAATTTTTCAATAGGATCAGAAATATCCCAAGGATCTTTAAATCTTGTGCATATAGTAGTTCAGCACCTTGACGTAAGCAGACTCCTCATATCCTTCTATTATAATCTCAGCTGCTGTTCTTAATCTGCCAGCTGTAGTGAGCAGAGATTTTGACCCCAAAGGATAATGTCAGACCGCAGTGAGACATGGCTTTCCACTCTTGCTTAGCTGTTCTTGGCAAGTAGAGATTTCACTCCCAAATAGTATTTAAGAGCAGGACACCTTATGCATGCCCTTGTGATGGAGCTGTGACATTGCAGACTATATTACCAGCTACCCTGAGGGAGAAAATTTTCATTGCTAGCATGTGTAATATTGGAATTGGGAGTGTATGACTCTGGATGGCTGTGTGACCACAAATTTAACTAAAGCAGCCTGTACTATTTATTGCCAGATACATTTCATGCCAGTGAAAGGTGTTATTACTGATGATTAAAGTGTCTTATTTAGCCACTGCCAACATCAGTTATGGTAGTCTTCCTGACTCCCAACCTGGAGAAATTCCACATAGTATTTCATTCTCCATAATGCTGAACTCTCTGCCGAACCTGGTGAGACTACCAAAGGTTCAAAGTAGTACTGTTCAGAATGGTTGTTTTGCGGCACATGTCCATAAGGAATCAGGTTGAACCCACCAAAACACTTCCTACAAAATGTCCACCAGCCAGTTGCTTTCCCTTTACCGGGCTAACTCCTTTTGATCTAAAACTCAAAATGGTCAATTGTTGCACTATTGAAAAATCCTAGGTCCCCCTTTTCAAATATCATTTGCACAATTATGCCCATGAATCATGCTGGCAGTCATTTAAGTGCTTTTGAAACAGTTACTCTGAAGTTATTCAAATATGTGTAATCTGAATCAGTTGCAGATTCCATAGTTGCTTGCTTTAATGAAATGCATTACATGACTCAGAAGTCAAGCTTACATAGACTCACAGTTTTCTGTGAAGATTTTTGGAATATCCAAAAAATTACTTTGTCAAGATTTTCTTGTTGACTTAGTTCATCTTGCCCCATCTCCCTTCCAGTCAACCTGAGGGGCCTACTTTAAAGCTCTAACTCTCATGTCTAGAAGAATGAAGTGAAGAACCTGTTATTTGTATGTCTTAGAACTGTTACTCTGAAGGACAAGTATAGTAAATGTCTGCAGTTCAATAGGTATTTTCTTTATTTATATGTTTATTTTTAGGGGAGCTTTTTTTCTTTTTCATTTTATCCCCTGCCGTGTTAAGAGTGTTGCTATTTTGTCTTTTTATTGAAGACTCTTGCAATTTTTTCTCAAAGCCCAATTTACTACATTTTACCACACTCTGTGAATAATGTCTTTTTCAGAAAAAAAAGTCCATTATGCATTTTTGTGAGCATTTCTATGAATTTTAGTCAGTTTTTATTACATTGTAGCCTATTATACATATATTTTCAGTGACAAAAATATTTACACGCTACACCTAAGTATAGGCTTACCTATTGTGATGACCTAATTTTGTTTATTTGTAAATAGGTTTATGAAAAGAAGAATAGGGGAGTGTCTCTAGGGGAGAATTTTAGCTTTGTATTAACTTTGCAGGCAAGTGGTATGTCTAACTTTCACTCTATACCCTTATACACTTCTGTGCATCTGTACCCTCTATGTCTTAAGATCCTTTTCTACAATAAGGAATAGGAACTTAGAGAAGATATTTTGAAAGTAGTTTTAGAATAGAGAACTCCCTCCTTTTGTGTGTGTATACAGTATTTAGTACAGTGGGGATCTGATCTCTCTTAGGGACCCTACTTATTTGAATGTGAGTACAGCTGAACAACATGACATGTTCTTTCTCAAAAGTCCCTAAATCATAGCTCACAGACCATGCATTGCTCTAAAATTGCTCACAGTCATCAGAAAGTAAAAAGTTAAATCTGAGGATATCTGAGAATAAACTATATTTCCTGCAGCATGTTGCTCAGATCAGCACTCTTAAGGGCAATAATATTGATCATGTGATCAACTGGGAGGAGTAAAAGATGCAGGAGAACAACACCCAAAGCATCGGTATATACTCTCCATCAGAGCAGAATTGAATCATGGGAATTTATGCCTGGAAGGGACCTCAAGGGATCATTCAGTACAGCGCCCTGTGCTGAGGCAGGATACATTGGGCAATATTTCTTTGTGTGTTCAACACAGGGTGTATATATGCTGCCCTTCAAATGTGAAACGGGCTGCATCTTTCAATTCCACTTTCTAATATTCTGTGTACCAGCTCAAACATCATTAATGCCAATGTGTCCTTTCAGACATTTCAGAAGTCCATTCCCTTCTTCAGATAGTCACCAAGTCTTTTCTTCCTCATAGGCAAACAAATAGTCCCCATACCATAACCCTTCCCAATCACCCTGCACTCGCTGAACTAAACTTTTCCTGATTTCTCCATCTCTCTTCAGCCAGCATCCCTCTCTTGTAAAGTGTCTGTGTGGCCCAGGAATCCAATGTAGTAGCCCTGGAATTTTGGATCAGTTGGGATCTAGCAGGATCCTTTGCTCATGCTCACACTGATTATAAAGAATTTGATGTCCAAAAGCATCAGGAGATCTGGGCATTAGAAGTGCTAGTCTGCTGCTAGTCTGCATTTAAATATTCCCTCTTTGGAACTTTATTGGGGTGATTGACATCCTTTCTGAAAGGCATCAGAGTGCAAGCAAAAGACCTTCAGGGAAGGAAACAGGGAAAGTTAAGTCAGCAGAAATCAAAATTAAAAACACTTCTATATCATCTTTATCCTTCAGGTACTATTCCTAATGTCAGCTCCTCAGGGACTTGATTAAAAAAAAAAAGACTGAAATGCAAATAACCTTTAAGGAAACATCCTGCTTTGTGCTACCTGGGCACTATTTGGACTGCTTTATTTCTCTCAGCACAATTACCAAAGACTTCTTTAAAAAAAGACTTTTGTTCTTGATTTAGTCTAAAGCTCATGAATGTTGCTGAGACTGAGATGCTGAAGACTGATGTCATATGTTGACCCTTGCAATAAGTGCAGTAGAGGCAGTAGGAATAGTGGGATCCCCAGCCTCCCTTCCTCAAACTTTCTCTGAAGAAATTGCTACCATGAGTTTTGTCTTTTTGTCTTGGTATGCATTTAAATTTCTGCTTCTCTAAGGGCAGCAGAGTCAATAATTTATAATGAATACTAAATCTGACATCTTTAAACTTCTTTGTGAACTGTCCAGGAGCACTCTAGGTCTGCCTTGAGCTCATTTACTACTTGCATTCTTAATTTAGAAAACAATTGTACAGATGCAAAATGTCCACAGGCAGCTTGTTGTGCACATTGGATAATTGGAAAACCAGCTGGTTCATTAATTTTTAGGTTAGTACCATAGATTTCGTTTAGGTGTTTCTGTTCCCTGAATGGAGAATGCAAATCTGGGATCTGGACTTTATACTTACACTGATGCTTTCACAGTTTACTGTAAACAAATATGCATTGCAAATGTGAGGACTGCATGTGTGCAACTCTCTGTCTTCTTTCTGCACAGTTCTGGCCATCAGAAATGTGGCTAGAGAGCCATAGCCAGTGAGTCTGCAATTATGTGGCTGTGTCCTGGGACAGCATATTTGTTCATGTGAGAGTAGCCGTGGAGGACCTGCATAGCTGCTCTATGACCTGCTGGGCTAGGGACAGAAGTTGCACATAAACCGGTTTAAGTGATCAGAAACTGGTTTAAATCCATAACAAAACATAAGGCCAGTACATATAAACCAATTTCAAAATGTCTGAAACTGGTTTAAGATAAATGTAGTAGAATGTAGAAACTGGTTTAAGATAAATGTATATGACTTAATTGATTTTGGTCAAACCGGTTTATGAAACTTCTGCTCCAGGCCCCTTCCTGATTAGAGTGAAATCATAATCCCCAGCATTCCAGCATGCTTTCCAGCCCTGGGATGGGCTGTCTGCTCCAGAGAGCAGGGGTGGCCCTGCCCCTCTGCTTCCTAGCTGGAGCAGTGAAGGCTGACTGACAAGGAGGTGGAGGGGGACAAGCCTGGCTGGGGAGGCAGCCCAATCTATGGGGGGGACTCCCCTCTGGCAAACCCTGGCTGGGGTCTGGAGCCCGGGAGGGGGATTAAACCCCCACTTCCCCTGCTCAAACTTACTGCTGGTTGCAACTGTGGATTACAAATCCAAGAGGCCCCTGGAAGCAGGAAGAGGATATGATGAGCAACCCTGCAGAGTCCTGCTGTTGTAATTCTGGACTGCAAATCCCAGAGACCTCAGGAGCAGCAGGAAGAGGAAGTACATTCACAGCCAGAGATCTGTACCCTAGCACTCCCCAGTTTATGGCCTGAGCCATTGTAGGCATGTGGCTGCATTCCCTGGATCAACAATAAATCTCTGTTCACTTCTGTTTCAATTTAATCTGTGCAGTTTAAGCTAACCTGCAAAGACTAAATCATTTCAGCCTCAGGCTTTTTAACTGTCTGTACCTAGCCCTGGTGTGTTGGAAAAAGATGCCTTTAGTCTCCCTTATCCTTTGCTAAAGATCCCTATGTGAACTGTTTTCATACTTTCAAATGCTGTTTGATGTTCTTCAGTGGTTGTGTGAGCTTCT